TAATACTTAATTAATTGCTTTTTATTTAATTGAATACTTTTTAATTAATGTATTTACACAAAGTATTTATATTTTTTGAAGTTTTTTTACATTTACCTTAAAATAACAATTTGTGTTTTTTAGTTAAAGAATTTGAAATTAAATATTATATTATAAAGATAATATTTTAATTTAATCTACTCTTAAAAAAAAGAATGAAAAGTTTTTGTTTTTAACTTATTTTGGAAATATGATAATTTCATAAAATAATTGAAAACAATTTAAAACCAGAAGTAAAGAACCACAAAAGATGAATGAAATGAGTTTTGGGAAGTTTATTTAAAATAGAGTATCAAAAAAAGAGAATAAGTATATTAGAGGAATATTGGGAAATAAAAAAATAATAAGAGAATTGATTGAAAAAAAAAAGAAATACCAGAAGAAAGACTTCTATTTGGTTCTTATTATTTTTGACAAACTAATCTTAACACTTTTCTTTTTGAACTTAAAATAATTTTTTTAGTTATTCCAAACTTTAAATGTTTATTTATTCAAATGCCTAAAGAAGGATGGCTAGCAAAACAAGGAGGTGGATGGAAAAACTGGAAACATCGTTGGTTTGTGTTAGATGGAACCACATTAACATATTATAAAGATCAATTAGTTTGTTATTAACAACAACAGAACAAAAAGAGAAAGAGAATTAAAAGTATAGAGAATGAAAAAGATGGGAGAAATTGATTTAATGTTAGCATTTGCTATCGTTCCAAATGAAGAATTAAAGTTAAAAAATTTTCCATATATATTTTCAATAAGTACACCTTCCAGAGTATATAATATTTCAGCGTCATCATCAAAAGAAAGAGATGAATGGATTGAATCATTATTAAATTCAAAAAATAAAAAAGAAACATTAATAGAAGAAGAAGAAGAAAAACCAATTAGTATAGAAGATTTTGATATAATTACATTATTAGGAAAAGGAGCATTTGGAAAAGTATTATTAGTAAGATATAAAAGAACAGGAGAAAAATTCGCATTAAAGATGGTTGAAAAAAAGAAAGTTATTGAAATGGAAGAATTAGAACATACAATGACAGAAAAAAATATCTTACAAAAAGTAAAACACCCATTTTTAGTGAATTTATATTATTCATTTCAATCAAGTACTCATGTTTGTTTTTAAATAAATTATATATAAAAAGTAATAATTAAATTTAGTTACATTATGTTATTGATTATTGTCCTGGAGGAGAATTATATTATCGTTTAATTCAAGAAAAATCATTTTGTGAAAGTAGAACACAATTTTATATTAGTCAAGTCATTTTAGCATTAGAATGTCTTCATCAAATGAATATAATTTATAGAGATGTTAAATTAGAAAATGTATTAATTTGTGAAGATGGATATCTTAGACTTACAGACTTTGGTTTATCTAAAGAAAATGTTGCTGGAAATGAAACAACAGCTACGTTTTGTGGTACTCCTGAATATCTCTCTCCTGAAGTTGTTTTAGCAGAACCTTATACTAATGTAATTGACTGGTGGGGAGTAGGAATTATGACATATGAAATGATGCATGGACAGGCACCATTCATTAGCGATAACATTCAACAACTTTATCAAAAAATTTTATATTCTCCAGTAATTTTTCCAACAACATCTCCAGTTTCTGCTGTATGTAAAGATTTTATAACTAAAATGTTAGAAAAAAAAATTTGTGATCGTTTAAGCACACCAGAGAAGATTAAAACACATCCATGGTGGAACAGTTTCGACTGGGATGCTCTTTATCAAAAGAAAATTCCTGCCCCATTTAAACCAGATATGTCACAAGATGGAAAAACAAACTTTGGAGAAGAATTTATTAATGAAAAATTCGACCTTAATGAAGAAATAAACAATTCTAATTCTAATGGCATAAGACAAGACATTTTTGGAGAATTCACATTCACTAGAGATAAACCAAAATAATTATATTTGTTATATAAAACGTTTATATATTATTTTGAAAGAATAATCCACGTAATCATAATGAAAACGTTGATCTCAAATTACGAAGAAATGACGTGGAATTCATTTATTATGATACTCATCATTACGTCAAAGAGATTACACTATAAAAAAGAACTAATCTAAAATTATCATATAATAGTTTAGCTTAATAAACATGCATTCACAAGCACTTGTAAGACCAACACCATTTAATCCATTTATTCAACAACAACGTAATCAAAAAATATTTGTTGATGGAAAAGGAACAGGACATTGGGCACCAGAAATTTGGGAGCCACCATGTGAGTTACTTGAAGCAGAACATATTTATTTATTAAAGTTAGAAGTTCCAGGTATTGATAAAAAAACATTAAGTGTTAAATATGCAAATAATTGGGTTGTTATAACAGGAACTAGACAAGTTGAAGGTAAAATAGAATTTACAGAATTTCTATATGGTACTTTTAGAAGAGAAATCCCTCTTCCAACTGATGTTGATGGAGAAAAAATTAAAGCTAAGTATCAAGATGGAATACTTGCTGTTGTTATTCCAAAGAAATCTCCAATGGGATGGGTAAAAGTTGATATTAACTAATATTCAATAACAAATTCAGGTATTGTATTTCATATAATTTTTATTGTTTCCTTTTTATTTTGTTTAAAAATTTGTTATTTTTTTATAACTTAATAATTGAAAAAAATATATTTAAGATCTTTCTTTTGTTTTTGTTATATCTTTTTAAGATTTTTATATTTCTAAAAATGACAAAAATGAAACACGTCATGCCACGGAGAGGAGATGTATTAAAGGATCTTTGAAGAAATGATAAGATATTGATAAAATGGCAAGACCAAAGGTATTCTTTGATATTACTATTGGAGGTGAAAAAGCTGGTAGAATTGTTATGGAACTCTTTAACGATATTGTCCCAAAAACAGCTGAAAACTTCAGATGCCTTTGCACTGGTGAAAAGGGTAATGGACTTACCTATAAGGGTTGTGGATTCCATAGAGTTATTAAGGATTTCATGATTCAAGGAGGTGATTTCACTAGACACAATGGAACTGGAGGAAAATCAATTTATGGTGCTAAGTTTGCTGATGAAGCTTTCACTGTTAAACACACTAAACCAGGAATGTTATCTATGGCTAATGCTGGACCAAATACTAATGGTTCACAATTCTTTATTACTACTGTCCCATGCCCATGGTTAGATGGTAAACATGTTGTCTTTGGTCAAGTTGTTGAAGGTTATGATGTTGTTAAAATGATCGAAAACAACCCAACTGGTGCTCAAGACAAACCAAAGAAAGCCGTTGTTATTGCTGATTGTGGTCAATTATAAATGATTACAATTTTGTCTCATTTTTGTATTTAACTTTTTTTATTTAAAAGCTATTTAATATGAATAAATAAAGAATAAAAAAGAGTAAGTAAATAAAGTGAAATTTATGAACATTTATTCTTTTCAACTTCATAGTACTAAAGACACATCAATTAATTGAAGAACTAAGGCATTAATTAATTTTTTTAGTATTTAATAATGTAAAGAAAAGAAAACAAACTTTGGTGGATATATTTTTGTTCTGTTGAAGGAAGTAATTTATTAAGAACTCGAAACATACTTCGAGAGTAGTTTAATAATAATTTCCAGTCTTTGTCAGTTGGACAAGTTTCCATCATATTTAATGCCTCAAACGTTATATCTCTAGTACATTCAAATAATGTCATTATAGGATGAACATTTACATTAATATCACAGGGTGATTCTTCAATAGAAATATTACATAACTTACCAATAGTATATAACACACCCATCATTTCTTCTACTGACATTTGTTTGATATTCATTTTCATTTTTGTCACTATTTCAATAGTATTTTTTCCATCTTTAACCATATCATCTTCTACTTGAGCTTCTTCTTCAATTTGATGTATCAATTTAACATTTTCTCCATTATATTCATACATAAAGGGAGATGTTTCAATTTCTTTCCATCCCCATCGTTTATTAACATCATAAACAATTAAATGTTTCATTAGGTCAATAATGCTTGGTTTTACTTTTAATGAACCAAATGGAGGTAAACGTTTTTCACTAAAGAATAATCTAAAATTATTCTTTGGGAAAATTAATGAGCCTGTACACATATAGTAAATTACACATCCAATACTCCATAAATCTGATTGATATGTATAATTACCGTTATGAATTTCAGGTGCCATATATGCAGGAGTACCTGCATTAGTTCTTAAAGGATCAATATAATTATCTCTTTTTGTTAGTCCTAAATCAGATATTTTTACGACTGGGTATTTACTAATCAGAGAATGTGCTAAGAGAATATTTGATGGTTTAATGTCTCTATGTGCAAAATGTTTTTCAACATGAAGGTATTTAATTCCATTTAAAATATCATTTGTAAAAGAAAATATTTCTTCATTTGATAATAATGGATTAGCTCCTTGTCTTCTTCTAATATCAATCAATTGTTGTATATCTCCTGAGTCACAATATTCCATAACAAGATAACATTGTACATCTACATAATAATCAAAAAAGGCACATATATTTGGATGATGAAAAAGTTTCATAATTCTAATTTCTTTCATTGCCATTTGTTTTAACAAACTATTGTCAATATCATTTCTATAAATTTTTTTAATTGCTACATATTTTTGATTTCTTTTATCCCATGCTTTTACAACACTTCCAAATGACCCTTTTCCTAATTCATTAATAATTTGATAATTTTCTTTACTTCCTTCAACATCTATTTTCTCTTTATGACATTCTTCTACAAATAGTGTATTAAATAATTTTTCCCATGATATTCTTTGTTCGGAATCAAAAACTAGCATTTGTGTTAACATTGATTTTAATGATCCATCAGGTATTTCATTAAATTGAATTGGTTCTTCTTTCTCTAATGAAGTATGAAATTCATTAACATCATCAATTGGATAAATAGGATGTCCTGTAGCCATCCAATATATACAACACCCTAAAGACCAAATATCAATTTTGGATGTATATTCTTCTTTATTAACTTCTGGTGCAGAAAATAAAAGAGAAGAAAATGAACCTGAAATTTTGGGAGTAATGGAAATTGCACTACCAAAGTCACATAATTTTACAATAGGAAATGGATATTCTTTTGACCGTTTTAAAAGAAAGTTTGCAAGTTTAAGGTCTCTATGTAGTATTTTTTTCTCTAGTACTAAATATTTTAGAGCATTCATCATATCAGATACAAAAAAATGCATTTCATCAATAGATAATCCATAAGAATTCCTATTAACATAATGTTGTAATGAATCTTCACACCACTCCATTACAAGACATTTATATACATTCATTTCATTTTGCGAAATAAACCATTCTTTTAATTCAATAATATTTGGATGTTTTAAACTAAGCATAATACTAATTTCATTATCAATTTTTTCCATAGGATAATCTGAATCGTCTTTGATTTCTATTTGTGTTAACTTAAATAAAAGAATTTATTTATATTTTCTTTATAATTACAAACCTTTAATAGCATAAAACAATTTATCTTTTTTATACTTTCTTACTACAGAAGTTCCACCATAATTTTCTTCACCTGAAATAAGTAAGTAACCTCTCGTTTGAAATGCGTTCATATCAACTATTCTTTTTTAAGATAATTTTTTTTTCAAAAATTAAAATCAACAAAAAAGAACTTTTTAAAAGATAATTATTCATGGATTTTATTAAACCTTTTATCCCTCAACTTCAAGAATGGACTGGATTAAATTTTAAAGAGATTTTATTTGACTCTAATATTCATGAAATGAATGCACAAACAATTAATTCTAAAATTGTATATCATCGTTGTATTTGTTATATTGTTCAATCAGGAGAATATATATTTGGTTCATTTATTGGAGAAACTGTTCCTTATGCTGAAGAAAAAATGTCTAATGCAATAGAAAATGATTGGAAGCATTTTATTTTTACTTTAAATAATCCAAAACATCAAATCATTAAAATTGAACCTCAATACCATGAAGACTTCACTTCATTATTTGTGTATGGGACTTTAAATAAAAGAAATGTTATTTCTACTCCAAATGCATTTTTTATTAATCCAGGAAAGAATTGTTATATAACAAAAAACATTTTTGATTATTATGTTCAACCTGAACATCTAACTAATGAAATTTTTGCTGGGTGTTGTCAACCAAAAAGATTTACAGCTGATCGACTTGTTGTAGTTGAGATGATTGAAAAAGAATAAATAACTCTTGGTTCTTTAGTTTAAATTAAAGAAGGTTTAATTTAAATATCACAGTAAAGAATGCGATAATAGTCATTAACGTTAATCCAACTCCTAGTGTTATTAAAGTAACATCCCCAAAAGTTCTTGGTTGATAAAATGTTAATTTGACTTGTTTCCAATTAGACTCTGTCCAAGCATCTCCAGAAGAACCAACAACCTTATTTTTTGATATATCAATATCTGATCCATAACTACCTAAATATGTAACTGTTCCATTTTTAATTGAAGTATCACATTCTTCTTTGCATACTCCCATTGTAACAATTCTGTTTAAATAATCATGAATGGCTTTACTTCTAGGTGTTATTTTTGTTTCTCTATATATTGAAGAATATGAATTAGAGTTTCCTTGAATAATACCAATAGTTTCATTAAAATAATCACAGCTTAAGTCATAAGCTAAACAATGATATAAACGATGATATTTTTCACAGTCATATTGAATCCCTAATTCTTTCTGAAGAGTTTCAATGTCACTTCTATTAAAAATAATTTGAAGAATTATTTGAGTAATACTTTCAATATTGTCACACAACTCAGTGATATATGGAAGGTAGTCTTGATGAGTACCAATATTTCCTTTATATAACTCTTCATGATCACTAAGATACATTTTAATACCATTTTTAAATGAATTTAAAGCACAATGAGGATATTCATTCGTTTTATTGACTATTCTTTTGTGAACATCTTGAGGCACTTGATCTTTACTATAAACAAATAGTCTTCCTTCGGTCAAACCAAGTGGGCCAAAATGAATAATATGAGAATAACTATCATTGCTTTTAGCAAATGTTTTTGATCCCATATTACCAAATGTTTCTCCTTCAAAAAATCCAAAATCTATTCCTTTCTTTGCTCCTTTCATTAGTGGTCTCAGTGTCTCTAACACAGAAAGAAGTGTAGCCTCTCCTGAAACAATTTGTTCATGGGCTGGTGTTGCATCTCTAAAAATACTAACACCATCAAGTTGTGCAGATAATAATATTGATTCAGAGAGATGATTTTCTACAAGTCGACCAACCAATGACTGACCACCAATCGGTTGGCACATTCCTCTTCTTAAACATATTTCTGAATCACCATCAGCAAGCATTTCATCTTCAATTTGTAAATACCCATTATTCTGAGTAAAATATACGACACTTGTTGGTGTAAACATTATAGGATAAGTGTATTTTTTCCATGCAACTTCTGATGCATTTGGATTAAAAGAAGACCGATAGTCTTGTGAAACGTAATGAGTGGAATTAGAGTCATAAAATAATACTCCTTGAACTTTTAATTGTTCAAATAAATTTAAGTGGACACTATCAAGGAGATGATCTGGAACAACTAAAATGCCATTATAGTCATTTGATTTTTTCCATACTTGAATTTCTTCTTCTGTCGGTAGATGAATAACTTTTCCATTAATTAGTTTTTTTCTTCCATATGACCCAATCATTTTGTCATTATTTAATAACAGGTATGCAGTTGTACTATCAATAACATTATTTAATTTATCTTTAACTACATCAAGCCTATTTTTTTTAAGGTCAATCTTTTCACTGTAACAATAAAAAAGAAAGAATAATAATAACAATTCTATCATTTACTTTTTTAAGTTTTTTATTATTTTTTTTATATTCAAAAAGTTTTTTCATGTTAATAAATCAATAGCATAATACAATTAAATGAAAGAAAACATGATGTAAAGAAAGATTTGAATGGGTACTAATGAATTGAATGAAGGATATTTAAATAAATGGAACGAAAAGAAATGTGATGAATATATAAGATGTGGCAAATGGCACTTTTAATGATATAAAAACTAACAATAACCACTTGGATGTCATTGAATATAAAAAGAGATACATTCATCAAAATAGTAAAAGATACAAGAAGGTATAAGTATGACTGGAAGTATTAAAGCAAAAA